CCCCGCCTGGTCTTCCTCTTTCTCTTGTGCTTCCATTTCATTCATGCAGTTTCTTAATTGGTTCCCACGTTCGCTCCAGTGCTATGTAGACGAATTTATTCATCATTTATTTTTATTCTGCAACATTTTGTGAAAACGTAATTTCACATTCTTTTTAACACAGTCTTTTTTACTTTTCCTGACCAAAGAAAAGAGAATTTTCTTATCTCCAACCCTCGTAAACAAATTCTGGTCAGTAAAACTGAACTCAACAATGCTGCCATTTTGGATGGCTTAGGCCTATGTTCAAATATAAAGATTTTCCGAGACCATTGCGCGTCATGCCAATTCGCCGTATAACTCGTGCACGGTATCTTCTTACACTAGATTTCTATATATAATATTTTATTTTTTTAAATTAAAGGGTACCTTGTTAAAAAATCACCATCCCTTTGCAGCAGCAAATTTAAACTCCCCTTTAAATCACAGGATTGGGAACAAAACACAAATTTCTTTTTTAAATCTCTTTTTGACAACCAATCAAGTCATTGTCAGTTGGTTTGGACTTTACTCGTCTCTTGCCAGGAAGTAGAATTTTATGTACTGTCAAGTCAAAATTAAAGTGTTTGTTGGCACCATTATTATCCGGACTCCCCACCTTCCCATACAACCTAATTAGGCCTTGTACATAACTTGATCTGTACGGAACAGCCACCATATGACATAAAACAGCGACTTGTGATAGTAGACAAATTTATATATTTATAGTCCTATCGTTTGCACAATAAGTAATTCAGAGTTAAAAGAAAAAAACATATCATTGTCTTCAAACGTTGTATTTTGACAGAATTTATTTTTTTGCCTCTCTTGGGGAAGTTGCTTAGTTATCATCTATGCATTTGAACCGTATCCGTAAGTTTCTCGAATTATCCATTTAAAGTTTTATATATTTCATGACATGCGCAAATAACTCGTGTTTTCGGCGTGTGTGTTGCTTTGCTTGTGACTGCAGACACACCGTTGGGCAACTTTACTTCATAAGTGTCTGTGAACAAAGGGCAACCAAGATGAATTCGTCCAGTAATGCATCGTGAGTCTTTTTTAAAAGTGTTATTCATATTTGAATTATAATCAACGTGACGTCTAGATCTATAGATCTAAAGCTTTGACTTATTGAAATCTAAAAGAATGTAGACTCGAAATCTACGCCAGGCCATGATGAAAGTAATGAGATGATTGAACGGATGAAAGTTGTTAAAAAATAAACAAAACACAAAGCAATTTCAAGAAAGTTAAAATGAAACTGAAACTGGAATTTGATGTTTATTTAGGTCTAGAGTCTAATAGCAGAGGCCTCCTTTAAGGACACTGGGGGGATAGATATTTATATCATGGTGTGGTTGCTGAGGCTGAAGCTGAGCACTTGACTCACAATCAATCTGACTTGACTTGACAGCACTTGTCTCAGCTGCTGTCAACTTACTTTTGGGCTTGGGGGTGCAAATTGTGAAATGTGGTTAATTTTTACTTTCACTCCCGCACGTGATGCCCTGCTTTGGGGTCAAACTGCAGTATTTTTGGCTGCACACTTACCCTACTGTCACAAATCAGATTTTTAAGAAGGTAGTGTCAATTGTGACAGGATCATCCGGTCGGAACTGACACTGCGTCAATTGTGACCGGAGACATAGCCGGAGACGTACGCTGCTTTTCTTTCGTGAAAGTCGGTTTTCCCATTTTGGCCCAAATATAGAAGACGTACTAAGATCTATTTTTGTCGTCTTTCAGGGCTTCCCTCGCCAGTCTGTTGACTTGGTAAGATTGAAGAATCAGACCACTCATATTATTGCGCGAGAATGGTGGGCGGAGGAAGGGATTAGGGGAGGGGTGGGGTTCAGGGGAGTCTCCCCCCTGACAAACTGCTAATGAATAAATCTAGGCTATCGGTCTGAGATTTTTCATTGAGAGAGATTAAAAACTGGGGAAAATCATGAATTCCTAACCTAAGGTTCTCGAGACATAGGCAAAAGTAGTCCTAATCCGCTGGTCCGGTATCCTTCAATCTTACCGTTGACTTTGGCTAGCAATGCCAATCGCCCACTGCGCCTTGGGTCGGAAATTGGCCTCCGCGCGAGGGGTAATTTTTGGGCCGCTCAGGATCAGAAGTGAATCTTCTAAGTGTAGTTATGGGAAAACTCGTTGACGAAAATAAATGAAACTTGGCAACCATTCAGAGGAAAGGTGAAACTAATGACATGCTAGTGTACAATAAGGAACGATTTCTAGAACCGGAGAAATTGCCGTGTATGTGCGATGATCGGGTCACAATTGATTGACGCAGTATCAGTTCCGACCGGATGATCTGGTCACAATTGACGCTACCTTTTAAGAAAGGAAGTGGCTGTCCTCGCCCTGGGTGAGCTATTCACCCAGCGTTGGCTATTCTCACACGGTGTGAGACAAGACCTGTTTTTCCTAGGTAATTTCAGAATACTGTCTATCGGTATGGATGGTCAAAATGCAAAGAAAAAATGACACAAAAGTAGGCTAATTTGGTCGTCAAAAAAGATGCTATGACTATTTGAAGTCTACTTCACTTTTCAAATCGAGCCGAGCTATGTGATTCGCCATTTAGTTTTGCCCAGAAGTTCTCGCAAGATCTACGATGTACTCCTCTCTCTCTCTCTCTCTCTCTCTCTCTCTCTCTCTCTCTCTCTCTCTCTCTCTCTCTCTCTCTCTCCTCTCTCTTTGAATACTATCGGTGTGGACCATCAAATTGACAAAAACAAAGATAAAAAATGATGTTAAAACACAAAAAAGTAAATTAATTTAGTCGTCTACAAAGATGCTACGTAGCAATGCCAATGAAAATTTAAATTTTCACTTTTGCCCCCTTTTTTTTGGTACCTAAGAAAGAATTTTCAATTCTGATAATTATGCTTCTTGAATTTTGAGAAACGGTTCATAAATAAAAAAGTTATGGGGTTGTAAAGGTCGGCAAAATATGAATGACCCACATATAGGAAAATACTCCTAAAAAGTGGACCACGCAGTAGCAGATTCTGTAAGAAAATAGACGATATCTCGGTAACTAATCCAAATGTTCGAGAGAAACTTGGCTACCCGATGTGTTTTTGAGTGTAGAAATCATTTCTGCAGTCAGATTTACTACCAATTTCGTAGTTATTTTGTTATAATTAAAATTGTGGTGTACATATTACGATTTTGCGAAAAAGGGGTGTCGGGATGAGTCCATTTTATTTATAGCATCGTATCACAACATGGGATCTTTAAGAATATATGTTGGCAACGTGACTAAATAATTGCAAAGCTTTTTATGATGACTTTAGACCATGCCAACCGTAAAAGATAAGTTAATTCAATCTAGCATGCCGTACAATTAAAAATTCTTTTTCCCCGTTGAGACGCGAACACCCCGAGACGAGATAACCTCGCCTCGGAATACCCCCATTGCGATGTTACAGGGGAATAGAGAGAAAAACAACCGGATGCGCGCGCCCGCCATTGCCCTATTTCAAGTGACCAATGAACGGGCCCGGAATAGTCATGCGGGGATTTGTAGGTCACACACAGACATTTGCCACAGGAGTGAGGGGAAAATGGCCGGTCTCCGTGCGAAGCCGCTTTGGATAGGGGGGTAGTCGTAGATTTACGATCGGGTCTAAACAACTACTTGACACAGAACTCTCAAATTTGAGCACACTATAGAGGATAGATAGATCTATTACCATCTGGGCGTTGAAATTCAAACTCCTTATAGTTTTCGGTGTACACGATACGAAAGTGTTCCCGACACCAAAAGTATAGGTTAATTTATGTGTACGAACTTCAACGTCCACATATCATTAGTTTGCCCTATTTTCTGATTGGTAGCCGAGTTTCATTCGGATTGGTTCGGAAATAGAGCAGACCGAGGTTGACAAAGTTAGTCACCTACGCTTCGGCCGGGTCCGCAAAATCGCCTGTAAACGGGGACCAAATTTTCGCCTCGCGGGAAAGCCCGATTGGCATTGCTATGCTACGGCTACTTAACTTTTCGAATCGAGCCGAACTATGCGGGTCGCCATTTTGTTTTGCCCGGAAGTTCTGGCGCTACTTATTTCTCTTTCTCTCTCACTGCCCACAAACAAAATTGCACGCTTTCAACACAAGAGCGCTGGAACGTTTGTCCATGGTGAATGCTACACTGGTTGGCCTATTAGATATATAACGGTGAACGTACACCAAGTGAGAATAGCCAAAAGGCTCGCCTGCACTATTCTCACTCATATAGAGATGGCCTTTAAGAAAACTTAAAACCGACAAACCCAAACCTAACGAACGGCAAAGCATCAAATTATGGGTTGACACCCCCCTCAACACCCCCGGAAACCTTTCAATTGATCCGAAGCGCAGAATTTACTACGCAGTTTGGCTATGAGTAATATAGATCAAGATATTGATTAAAAACCATCAAATTTTAAACGAAGTGTATACAGATCCTGTTACCGGGAACAAAGTCACGAAGTATACAGACCCGGTAGGGGAACTCTTTTGTGATTTCGGAAAATTTCAGCGCCCAGACCCGGTAGAGTGTGTGTGTGAGTTTGAGAGAGAGAGAGAGAGAGAGCAGGGGGAAGTGCTAGATCTAGCAAAATGTATTTGACATGCCCGCCAGTTGGCAGGAGGGAACAAAAGACAGAGACAAACAAAGAAAAAAAGAATGCGAGCGATACACAGAGAGAGAGAGAGAGAGAGAGAGGGTGACTGCTCGATTGAAATTATGACATTGTTCTTTTCTTCAAATTGTGATTCCTCCAACTCCAAAACAGGGGAAAAACGATCGTTCATCGAAAAGACATCTGCAATCTTCATTTAGTTTTAGATCTAGATCTAGGCTAGCCTCGAAACTAGATCAATGATTTATATCTGTCTGTCTAGATCTAGACCTAGGCCATAGGTCTAGAAGAACCTAGTTCTACCCTGAGCCAAGAGGGTGCTGAAGCTTTCCGAAATTACAAAAGAGTTCCCCTACCGGGTCTGTATACTTTGTGACTTTATTCCCGGTTACCGGGTCTGTATACACTCCCAATTTTAAGACTATTAATTTGCGACGGAAATGAAGTTGATATTTGTGTTCAGCACATGCATCAATGTAGTAATATTACTCACTCACTGCCATTGCCGCACCTGTGTCGGTCAAGAGGCGACGACCGCTACAGCACCTCTGTCGGTCTCATATTTTCCTCTTTATTTCTACGAATTGCCGACGCATATATGCGGCAATGGCATAGCCCAATTATTAGAGTTGTAACATCCCTTTGACCACTCGTGGCAGTTTCACTTTATTAGAATTATGATTTCCCTTGAAGTTTTGCCTATTTTTGGAACGGGAGTTCCCTTTGTCCTATTTCTGGGTTTTGTTTTTATCCAAATGTAACTGTGATCCCTCATAACCTAAACCATAAGACACACACACACACACACACACACACACACACACACACACACACACACACACACACACACACACACACACACACACCACACACACACACACACCACACACACACACCACACACACACACACACACACACACACACACACACACACACACACACACACACACACCCCACGCACACACACAACTCATACACAAATTGTGAGATGAGTGGTCACTGTAACCAAGTAACAATGGACGTCAACATGAACTTGCAAATTGCAGGATATTTTCTCCGTCGTTGTTCCCAGCAGAATTTTAAATTTTATAAAGGCCATTGGCCTTTATGGCGAGTTGTAAAGTGAATCTAATATTATTTAAAAAATTTATTGTTAGTTAAAAGTTGTTTTAGATCACAAATGTATTTACACCGAATTTGAATATTTTAACTTTTTAGCATTTTAAAGTAAATTAGTTACCAGTCATGAAGTGAACTTTCGCAGAGGTGAACAACTTGTGTTTCGCGCGCTCATATGACCTTAGCAGTTGCGAGCGCCGTAAAACCTTATACTACTACTACAACATGAACTTGCGACAGAAGCGTCGGTCGTTCTCCGAGTGGTGGCGACCCATGTGTTAAAAAGCAAACAAAAAAACAAACCAAGGAAAACAACAACAGCAACACCAATGCTGCAACCTTAGGTTGGGACCTCAGAAGAGAATGGTTTGTTTTCTTCATTTTGATTAGTCCTGCCTAAGACGGCCGCCTATCTTATACGGCCACTTTTTTCCTTGACAACGGGTGACCGTCTTACACAGGTTCGACTGAATGTGGATGAGTTTAGTGCTCGGACCAAAATTCTGCCAGTCCCTTGTTCTGAACAAGTGACTGGATTGGATTTCTGTTCTAATTGCAAAAATCCTCAAAATGAAAGTGTACCACAATGCACACAAAATAGGTCGCAAACAGTGACCAACTTGATGAAATGATTGTTTTGTTCATTGAAGATAATGTAATGTTCAGTGTATGTAATGAGGAAAAATACTATTTCTATTTGTATTTGCTGTTTTGTTTATCAACATAGTGTTTGTTTTTTGGGGGACGCACCAACTAAAATGAGATGTTATAAAACCATATTGTCATAAGTTTCGGTTTTCTCTAAACTTTTGCTGACACATTGTTTCTGTTTCTTTTCTCAGACATGTTTCACCCCCTGCAGTGGTGTGGGCACAAAGGAAAGATAAAATTTTGTTGACGATTCAGCTAGAAAACTGTTCAAATCCCACCATTGACATCAAAGACTCAAGCCTGTATTTCAAGGGTAAAGGGGGAACCGGCAATGTTGACCATGAAGTCTTGATGGAGTTCAACAAAGAGATTGATCCACAGGTTCGCTGGCACTTACTGTTTTATGATCAGTTGTTTTGAATTGCTACATGTTCATGTGTGCAGAGATATAGTAGTATTCTGGTGTGGTTTGCTTTTTCTTTCCTATCAAACATCTATAGTCCTTCCCTACTTCTTTTTTATGTTTGTTACTCTCTTGTAACACGTCTAATCTTCTGGCGCTCACATGACCGTATGCAGTTGCGAGCGCCATAAAACCTCTACTAAAACTTTTCAAAGAGATATAGTATGTAGATTGTTCTTTATGTTTCCGTTGAATGCCCCCGTTTTTTAATTAAGATTCCTCAAGGTCTCAATTTTTTTCTGACTAATGTGGCTAAATTTCATTTTGCGCGTGAAATTACAATTGGACCTTGAAGTGTATGATTTGGTTTAACTTCGATCATGTGAATTTACAATGCATTTTTCTTTTCTTCTTCTTAGGATTGTATTTTTCCAATACACGTTTGCACTTGATAGTGTGTATTCTGCTCATCTATAAATAATGTAAACGCCTTTTGTGAAGGTTGGCTGAACTTTAATTACTTTAGGACTAATAGCAAAAATGTTACTACCTTGTATTGACTCACAGATTTTCTAAGATTGTAAAAACATATTTCCTTTTCTAAATTGTGATTATGAATGTATCAGTATTGCAGAGGGATTTGATGTTCATGTTGTTTTGGGGAATATCGTACCTTTGTAAAGACAGTATTTCTTCTACAGGCATGCAAACACCAAGCTACAGGAAGAGAGATTATATTTGTTCTGATGAAAAAGGAGGAGTCTCATGGATTCTGGCCACGGTTATTGAAAGATTCTAAAAAGGTAACTTATTTATGTCATCGATTGAAGAGGAATGAAGACCTGTTATTTTGCTAGCGCGTAGTTATACTAATGTAACTGGCAAAGACTTGCTTTCTCTGTTATTGTTTGGGGTTGGGGTGGCGATGAATTCATATATGAGAATGAGACCTCAGGGTTTCAGTGTCTTAATTTTTCTGGAACTTATGGGGGGGCACTCGTGGCCTAGAGGTTAAGGTGTTTGCCTCTCATTCAATAGGTTGTGGGTTTGAATCTGGATAACGACGGAAAATTTTCTCCTTTCACGTCCTTTCTTGCTCTCTAACAATGTTCTGTCGTCTTCTTTCGTCTCCACTTTCTGCCCCCTCTGGGCTCCTGGCTCTTTCTGCAGCCTTTCTACTGTTGCTAGGTGTGATGAAGAAAGGAGGAACTGTTCTAAACAAGAAGCACGTGCATGTTTGAGCTGTGGTCTGGGTCAACAGCAAAGATGGAGTAAAAAAATGTTTCCTGGGGGCTTCAGAGTGAGCATTTCTTTGAGGTGGGAATTGCCACTGCTTGATTTGAAAGAAAGGTCTGTCATGTAGTGGGGAAGCCATAGGAAAGGTAAATCATGATAGGTCTTTGTCCTTAAAATAGGAAGCCCTGCCCTCCACCACCACTTCTCTCTCTCTCTCTCTCTCTCTCTCTCTCTCTCTCTCTCTCTCTCTCTCTCTCTCTCTCTCTCTCTCTCTCTCTCTCTCTCTCTCTCTCTCCTCTCCTCTCCTCTCTCCCTGTCCCTCACTCCTCTCTCTCTCTCCCTTCCACTTCCCCCCCTCTCTCTCTTCCCTTCCACATGCCTGCATAAGCTTCCCTCATTATTCACCAAGTGCACATTCTCTGTTTGTTTTTCTGGTTTAGTTTTAGCTGGAGAGAAGAGTGAGAGATGGTGTGAGAGAGAGTGTGTGTGTGTGTGAGAGAGAGAGAGAACGTTAATGATGTGGAAAGGTTTTAACATGTAATAATAATGTAATAGTTATGTAGTTGTGTTTATCGAAATGTGCAGGTCCACTACTTGAAGACAGACTTCGACAAATGGAGGGATGAAGATGATTCTGATGTGGAGGAACAAGAAGATTTCAACCTTGATGAAGTAAGTTACTGCGAGTGAAAAATGAAGTGTGATATTTATACTTTTGAAAATGATGTCTATTCCAGTGTAGCTACTTATTATTGCAATGCAGAAGAGAATGGATAAATTGACCTTTAAGATGTTTTTGTCCATCATTTAAGTCTTACAATTATAGGTTCCCATATATATAGTAGAAGACACTTTTGATGCGATTTTTGTGTCAGTCACAAAAAATGGATTATATATTTTCAATTAGACTTAATATCATGTTTTCTCAAAGTCAGAGTCTTACTCAACCCCCCCGGGGCGGTGCTACTGACTGAAGTGTCTTTCGGCCATTCCCAAAGGGGGGACATTAGCCATGTTCTTACGCACAGTAGAATTGTAAATTGTAAATGGGCTGATTCATCATGCCATGCTCATAACACTGTGCCTGAACTGCTGATTTTTCTTTCCCTATCCTTACTATTGTCATTTTGCCTCTACTTCTTTTGTATGTTTGTCACACTCTTGTGACCCGTATTTCCGGGGTGCCTTGATAGTCGAAGCAGACCTTGTGCTGTTGAAGCTAGAGAGGTGAGCAGAGTAAGTCTGATTCCCTGTAAGGACTTCTCTGTTGACATCCAGCCCTTGGCGCTCATATGACCATATGCAGTTGAGAGCGCCATAAAACCTCTACTAAAATAAAACATGTCATGTTTTGTCAAAGTCAGTCTTACTTCTTTCATGAGTTTTACAACTTTAGCAAATTTGTGTATATAATATATACAGCGAAGCACAGTTATCTCGAGCATGTCAGGGTTTGACTAACGTGTTTGACAACAGTCAGTGATTTGAGTAAACGGCAGTAATGATGAGAAATACTGAAGAAATTCAAGGGAAAGAACTTGACAGTTTGTGTGTGTATCACGCTTTGCTGGGCCGAGCTTATCTGCAATAACAGGGCTTCATTGGAGCTCAATCGGTTATAGCAGGGACAAACGCTCTTCACAATGTGTAAAAAAGTAAGAGAGAAACGCAAGCTCAACCAAGCCACACCACTGCAAGCACACGTTGCGGGTGAAGCGAGAGAGGGCTGCTTTGTGCTGCAGACTTTGATCAAGCCCAAAGCCTAGCTACACGTACACATGTGTTATGGGCAGGCCTGCCACATGGACAAACCACCTATTCGTGGGCACTTGTGGCAAGGGAAACTACCCATGAACAAATACAGCTGGATTCGTCCTGAAATACTTACTTCTGTAGCATTTCTGATGTAACAGAACTTTTTCTCTGGTCCCACCACCATCCCTGTTCTGTCAGGTTTCCACTGTAATTGGAAACCCTAGATGACGATGGGTACGTGTGTTGTTTTGCTTCACACCTTCAGGGTGATTTGAATTGGAGACAGTTCTGAACAGAGGAAAAGAATTTGCTCTGATTTTTCCGGACAAGCTGTGGGACATATCTATCTGTCAGGTGTTTGAGTAAACACTGTTGCCAGTATGAAGAAAAAAATAGGTGTTCTGTCTGAGAATGGCAATTCACACGTGCTATCCGTGATTTAGAGTTTTGCTTGTTCGCTTTATCTGTGCCCGACTGTATGATGACTGCTGTCTTTTTTAAAAAAAAGAATTTTTATGCAGTTAATTTTAGTATCTGAAAGTGGTCTTTTGTCATTGGTGGTTTTCTGTCCTTTCTCTCTTTTAAAAATCATATGGTTAGTAATACATTGTAGTTGTTATTGTGCAATGTGCAAATGGAATCTCTCTTTCAGATGATGCAGTCAATGGGCGGCTTGCCTGGTGGTGCTCCTCCAGGCTTAGGGGTAAGTGGGGAAAAATGGAAATGAGCAAGGACATTTTTTCCGTTTTAACTCACTCACTACCGGCTATTTTTGGGGTCGCTATTCCCTGTGCAGACCTGCCACTCATCCCGATTTAGTCGGGATATCCCGATTTTTTGCCCCAAATCTCAATCCTCCCGATTTTCCCGATTTCGATCGCGTGTATCCCGATTTTTTGTGCCAGTCTGCTGTTGTGCCGGATCTTTCTAAAAACTTGCTCTGCCTTCTCCTTTATCGCGGGAAGCACCCGTCGAACTTTTTGTCAGTAGGAACTCGGAGCACTATTTCCAGAAATATCGATGCCGCATTTAGTACTATTTAGTAGTTGACTCGCCCCAAGTTCTGTGTGATCTTTGCCCGCACCCAGAATTCTCCGATGATAGCCTGGTAACTGTTACAATTTGGGACATTTAATAATCGATAATATTCGTAGTCCCGCTGTTACTTTCAAAACTAGCCTTGTCCGAGGTCTGGTAACTGCGCGTTCACATCAAACACTCGGACGAGCGACAGTCTTTCTAACCCTTACACAACTACATGGAACTGCGCTGACAAGACTAACATACGGCCGTTGTCGCTGCTTTTGTCTGAACACATGAGGGATAAGAGATATGTTGGTATATTTGGTCGGTCGGCCGCCGTCGTTATCCTAGAAGTTGAACGACTGTCGCTCATCAGAGTGTTTTGTGTGAATGTGCAGTTAGTCGCACCCGTTAGTAAATAAATTGTTTCAATCGCGCATTCGCGTCACGTGACATATCATCGCCGTGTGAGTTCTGCGTGTCGGGGACCGTCCGTTAACGGGGTCAACTTAAGTTCATGTATTTCGAGACTTATTGGTTAGGGGGGGGGGTATAGACCCTTGGACTAGGAGTGCTTAACGCGATGCTTCAGGATTTAAAAAAAATAATGATAACTCGCACGTACGCATGCACACGCACTCTCACACACACACACACAAACACGCATGCACACGCACTCTCACACACACACACACAAACACGCACGCAAACAAACAAAGACACACAGAGGGCATATAGGCCAAGGAATTTATGGACACCCCTGGAAAAATTTTAAGTCGGCTTTGGAGTCACCTTGGTGATTTGCTGTTGATCCCGATTTTTTCTCCCTGAGATCCCGATTTTGAGGTTTCATAGAGTGGCAGGTCTGCCTGTGTACCAGCCGTTTTAAGGGTAATTTTTAAAAATCATTGCTCTTGCAAATTACCACAGAGACTTGAAAATTTGAACTTAATAAAGATTGCCATGAGGAAATTACAGCTCCGTTTTATTTGTTACTTTTTTTTCAAAAGTTTTCAAAAATTGGTCAAAAACTTCGTTCCCTTTGCCTTTCAAAATCATGCCTTTCCCCACGACTGCAACCCCATATTTAGGTTTTGGGGCCCTACTAAACTTTACTCGTTTTGCAAATTTCCTCACCCAGTTCGTCTGAGAACTTTTCATCACTTTTGGCGTCAAATGTTCGAAAACGGTCAAAGAAGCGATCTACCATTGTGGAGAAACTATGAAATTAAATTTTATTAGTTGTTATCGGGAAAAATCAATAACTCAACTTGCGCTCGTCCCGATTTCAGTTTTGTTTCTTTCTAATGAAAGATAATTGAATGAGCTATGAAAAAGACGAACCGGTACCCCAAATGGTGCGGTTTAATCGTGAGAAATAAATTCCAAAATGCGAACCGCACGGTGTCTGAGCTACTTTACCCGCAGCGGTTGTGGTAGTGAGTGAGTTAAAAAAAACCTAGAGAGTAGACCATTTTGTGGAAAGTTTTACTGTCTTTTTGCGTTCTTGAGAGAGGGAAGTGTGTTTCCTTCAGTAGGTGATTTCCATTTCATTGGTTCTCTCTTGTGGACTCAAAAATTGTTAAACTGATCCAGTCGAACTTGCTGTTAATTGACAACCTGTCCAAGACATTCATCAGTACAAAGGATCACTCCCCACCGACCTCTTGCGGTTTTTTCTTATACAGTAGTCTCCGCCTAAGATCCCACCGCTTACGATCCCGGTTCGCTTAAGATCCCGCTGTTTGAAGAAAACAGAATTTTTACTATACAAAAGTCACCCCTAAGATCCCGCTCTGATTCACTCTGAAGGTCTACATTCTGCTAAGATCCCGCATTTCAGATCTTAATTTGCGGAACAAAAACCCGGGCGGGAACGCCAAGAGTGAAAAGTTGAGATCAATAAACTGTCAGTCGCGTCGAAGATCAGCTACTATCGTGAATGTGATCACATACACGTTGTAAAACTTGATGAAGCGATACAATGTTTGCCCCAGACGGGATCACACCGGGGTGTGAACTGACCGACACGTTTGTTTTTCCCGAACATCGCACTCACACCTGAGCTCTCCCCCTAAACCTAGATCACTCGCTGGGTGGGTAGGGCCAACACGTTCGCTCCAGGTGGGATCACATTAAACTGTGAACTCTTGCCTGACCAATGCAGAAGTTGTATCTACTTCCGAATTTGCGAGACAGACTGGGGGGGGGGGGGGGGGGGCTCGGTCAGAGATGGAAAGCTATAAATTTTCGACAGGTAAGGGGGAGGGGCAACTGGATAAGCCTAGATTTGGAGACTCATGATAGGATAATAAGTGAAAATGGCACGTCTCATCCCACTATACACTGTTATAGGTCATCAAGGTCTCACCACTCTTTGCTCGCCATTCGTCATAAACCCACCCAGCGGTCATGTCAGTTCATTTTAGAGTGGAGGGAGACCATTTTATCGATTGTGAGCCTTAGCATGGGTCACCATAAATTCTTCCCTGGGTTTGTCGCTTAAGATCCCGGTTCGCCTAAGATCTCGCATTTCCTTGCTCCCGAGCACCGGGATCTTAGGCGGAGACTACTGTATTACGAAGACCACTGTTCTGCTCGACAATGGTTGGGGGTCCTGGTCAGGTTCAGCTGTATATATAAATATATGATAATATATATAGAATTATATGCTGACTGTTATGCACTGCATGATTTTCTGTTTGTCGATGGTGTCATTGACGTGGTTGAAAGTGTTTTTTACTCAGCTATTTTTCTTCGCACAAATGCTCGGAAGGGCCTTTATTTATGTGAACTAAATACTTTTTTAACTGCACACAGAAGTGGACTTTGCTGAGAACAGTGTGAATGTATATTATATAATTGACATTGTATATCGCTACCTCTTGTGATTTGATGTGTTTTAGTAGATGTATGCAATAATAGACATAAGTGTCTTGAACATCTGACTCTCACTGGCAAAATTGAGGGCAAGCGAGGCAGGGGTAGGCCCAGAACAACATACTTAAGGAACCTAAACAAATGGGTAACAGGGACAGATCAGGGAAACGTAGCTTTTTTGAGAGCATCCGAGCGAAGGAATGAATGGAAAACCATGATCGCCGATATCTGGCACTGGATGATGATGATGATGCAATAAGTGTCTTACATTATAACATGTCTCCTCTTTGTTTGTCTCAGCAGGAAGAAGAGGACAGTGATGATGAAGGTAAGTAACCTGGGGGGGGGGGGTTGTTTTTTGTAATTAATGTCACTCACAGCCTGTGTTCTTTTCAGCTGTGTTAGAGGAGTGGAAGTGGGAGGTTGGCGGGTGCTCTGGTTTCATTTGCTTCTTAAACACCTATCGTCCTTATCTCCCCTCCTTTTTTATGTTTGTTACTCTCTTGTAACACCTCTAATCTTCTGGCGCTCATATGACCGTATGCAGTTTCGAGCACGGTAAAACCTCAACTAAAACTGAAACTTAACTGTTCTTTTCCGTTGTGTTAGAGGAGTGGAAGGGATATTGTACAGCTCGTCGCCCCAAACTGTTTGCTCCAAAGTGCCTCTTTACTTAAGTTCAGTACACTTTGGACAAAATAGGAGGCGATGAGCTGTATTAATTGAAAATACAGTTTGACACGCATAATTTAAACACATATATCAGAGATAGACAAATGTGCTAGACACGTCCATTATTTGGGTGTGCCGTTACTAAAAATTAAAGCAACATCAGTGGTGGAATACATATATATTGTTTGTACGGGCTCTCTGTGGTTTCGAGTTTTCCGTGTTTGTGCTATCTGTACCCGACTGTTGATTTTAACCAAGAATGATAAAGGAAATAATCAGAAATTATGCAAAAAATAAATTATGCGGCGACAGGTATTTGGTGACTACAGCGTTAGCCTTGTCGCGATTCTAAATATATGTCTTTGGAAACTAATGTGTTCCTAGCCTTGTCGGGATTCTAATATATATATATCTTTGGAAAATAATGTGTTCCTAGCCTAGTCAGGATTCTGATATATCTTTGGAAATTAATGTGTTCCTAGCCTTGTCGGGATTCTAATATATATATCTTTGGAAACTAATGTGTTCCTAGCCTTGTCGGGATTCTAATATATATATATCTTTGGAAACTAATGTGTTCCTGGCCTTGTCGGGATTCTAATATATATATCTTTGGAAACTAATGTGTTCCTAGCCTTGTCGGGATTCTAATATATATGTATCTTTGGAAAATAATGTGTTCCTAGCCTAGTCAGGATTCTGATATATCTTTGGAAATTAATGTGTTCCTAGCCTTGTCGGGATTCTAATATATATATCTTTGGAAACTAATGTGTTCCCCAGAATTACCTGATCTACAGCAGTGATGTCACTTCCTAGGCGAGAACGTTTCAGTGATGACCTTTGACAGATGGGAGTGATGATGCACAACTGATCCTTGGAGAGTGCCGGAAGGAATTTGTGAGAGATGAGAGAGTGTGTGGTGTGTGAGTGAGTGGCTGGGATGAGATGTGGTTTGCTCATGAGAACAAATGGGAGACTTGTGCGTGTTTTCAGTGGTCAGTGTTCCTTCACTGGGAGTAACTTAAGAATTTATTTTTCTCGTTTTTTTATACAAGTTAATTATTTGCAATGGTTTGCTGTTATGATGTGTGTATTTTCTGATATACACTACTTGCTTGAGTAGATCAAGTCAGTGATTTTGACAGAAATCATTTCATTTTCATTTTTAGTAATTTTAGTTCTTCAATGTGCTGTGTTAAAGCACAGGTCTGCCTCCCGATGTATTTTAATGTTTCATACCAGTTTTCCATCCTCTGTTTATTAAAAAAAGATTAATAAAAAAAAAATGTAAGCACGCCTGCTAGCCGTTCAGTATTTGCTTTCTGTCCCAGTTATTTTGAAAGTGTTTGTGTGTGATGCATGAGTGTTCAAGTTCAAACTTTTATGGTGCCACTGCAAAATAAAGGATTTTATGTACCACACCTTTGCTGTTGAGATGTTTACAACAATAATAGTAATAGATAATAGATAGCATTTGTATTATGCAAATTCCCGCTCAACAGCAAGCTCTACTTTACAGTCTATATTATTACCGCAAAGGACTTGATGACACATTTTGAAACGATCTCAACTTCCTGGGAAGTATAAAAGTGCAAGCTGCCATTTTACAGGTGCTAAAACACTAACATGCTGACAAGATATTTCACTGTCAATGGCCGGGTTAACCATTCACACCTTGGTGAAGTGAGGAAAAGTCATATAAAGTGCCTTTCCCGAGGACACAACGTCGGGGCCCGTGGCTCGAACCCCCAAATCCGCAACCTCACGATTACAAGTCTGGTAACCTAACCACTAGCTTTAGCCACTGCCAGGAGCTGATATGTGTTCACAGTCCTGAAAATGTTTAAGTTTTTTTAAAGTTTAGTGTAATTGTTCAGTAAGCACAATAGACTGGGTGGACTTTTGTAAAATGGTCGCTTTTAAGGATGAACGGGCTAACCCAGATTTGGGGGGTTTCCAGAAATCTTGACCTACACCAAAAGTGGGCATTGCCCTACCTATAGGAGAAGTTTGGTTTCATTGGTGTTTATATTTTGTTTGGCTATAGAGAAAACTCTCCTTGTCTTTAGAAACTGAACATGAACATGGGGCAAAAACTTTACCTTCGATTTTCTCAAAACCGCATTTCTCAGGATAGCCCCCTTGTGCTTAAAAGTGACCAAATATCTGCTCCTGTCAGTCAACATGTCATCCCTCCATTAATCTAAAGCCAAAGTCTATGGTTTCAACGAATCTTGATGAATGTCATGGGTCATAAAATCCTTGAAAATAGAAAACGTTGAAATCAATCCTAATTTTCCTATCACCTCACAATCACATAGAGTCTTACTGGCATCTGTGGTGTAGCAGTTGAGCCAACTTAAGCGTTTCTCTGTTGCAGGCAGGAGACCACCCTTCGATTCCTGAGTGGAGATAAATGGTCATGGGTGGTTGGCGGGTGCTCTGGTGTGGTTTGCTTCTTCTTTCCTATCAAACATGATTTATCGTCTTTATATCCCCTTCTTTTGTTTAATGTTTGTTACTCTCTTGTAACACCTCTAATCTTCTGGCGCTCATATGACCTTAGGCAGTTAACTGCGCCCTGTAAAACCTCTACTAAAACTAAAAACATCAACCCTCCAAAAGTACGAAGCCAAAGTCTGTGGTTTCAACAGATGAATGTCATGGGTCATAAAATCCTTGAAAACATGTAAAATGAATCCTAATTTTCCTATCACCTCACAATCGCATAGTCTTACCGGCATCTGTGGTGTAGAAGTTAGCCCTATCCGTACGGCCTGGGGTCATTTTGTACCTGCAGTGTCACATTTTAGAACACTTCTAGTGCGAAGATCTCTTTGAAAGTTTCAGTATTTCTCAAAGAATTATTTTGACAAGACTTCTATGCAAAGCATACGGATCGGATTAACGAGTAAATTTCCTCTTTGCATAGCTGCCACTTTTCCGCTAAATAGCGGAAACTCCGCTTCATCTAGCTTTTCCCGCTACTTTCCACCTTCCTCCGCGGGACCGCTCTCGGTCGCAAATTGCGATACTTTTTTTACACGCGGAAAACACCGAACCGGGAGAGAGACGAAAACGCAGCTTGTGCATGACGCATGTCCGCCCGTAGCTTTCTACTTCCGTTCTTCTAGGCCGAGCGTTAGTTTCACTTTGTTTATTGTGGAGCAACAAAGTGTCGATCGGGCATCGGGACGTTAGCGCGCCGAGTTGTCATTGAAAACGGCGGAAATTCGAGAGAAGTTGATGCAGAATGCAAAAATAATTATAAGGAGCTCCGCTTGCTGCACTTTGCGTTTGGTGCGATAAAGAAATCGCGGCCCGCGGCACTCCTGTACAATTTTGGTCCCATTTGTTTACATGACGGCTATTGTGGCTGTTGAAGTGAATCTAGATCTAGATATAATCTAGATTTACACATATTTAGATATCTAGATCTAGATTAGATAGCCTAGGCTGTAATTTTAATTCAGGTTAGATCTACACTCTACAGAGGCACTACTAAGTTACGTGCAAACGGGACCGCAGTTGTACAGGAGTGCTCAGTACAGCGGCAAAGGTGTTGCCTCTTTGATCCAATACTGCGCGCGCTCTACATCGATGTACATGTTTAAAGAGAAAGAAATCTTTTTATAAGACACCAGCTTGCAACAAACTCTGGATTTTTAGTCACCAAGTCCAAACTGTGTCAAATTGACTCAAATGCTTGTTAGTCTACTTAGTGCCTTTGTTGGGTTGTTGTTTTTTCAAATACATTTTAATTCAGTTGCCTATGGTTAACAAATATGACAGTTTTCCCTTCCAAAACCATAGGCTACATTTTCCAGTATATATTGCCTCTGGATCTCACTGGTTTTACTCCAGCCTTCGGAGAGCGCGCGTTCGCATGAATTTCCTCCTTTTTTGAAATTCCTGAGTGGCAGCTATGTCTTTGGAAAGTGGTGGCACACAGTCAGAGTCCTCCACGTCGTGTGGATACGATAGTAAAACATGACGTACAGATAGGGTGAAGCGTTTCACTGTTGCAGGCAGGAGACCACTCTTTGATTCCTCATTGCTCCCCTTGATTCTTACACAACTGCTTGCTGGGGGAAATGGAAAGGCGAGGCACTGACTCACTGACCATGGTACTTGCCAGCGATAGACTGAATGAGATGGTGAAGGGGAGTGGGGGCAGAGAAGTGATGCCCAGCGCGCCAGACGCTCACGTCTGTGAGGCACTGTACTGTGTTGGAGACTACACTGTCTTGACCCTACATGACCTACTAAAGCCTGGTGTGTCAAATAGGCTACCTGGCAGGTTTGAGGACTTGAGGGGAGGGGGGCTACACCTCCAAAGTCAAGATTCTGAACAAAATTATGGAATTTCAGTTGTGGGCATTTTTAGCTTCCTCAGCCTCTCCTCCAACTATTTCATCGCATAAGAACCCCCCAAAACCGTATTTTTTCCCATACCGGGCATGTTTGTCGCCACCATTTCCTCATAAAGTCAATATTTTATTTTTCTTTATCGGACGTTTTCTCAAAATGCAAGTTTCTTCTATACTTTTTTTTAACAACTCCTCCATTTTTTTTCGTCCAATCTTCACGAAAATTTCACAGAATGAAGAGAAGATGTAATACTAAAATTTGGCTGTTGAATTTTTGATATTGTTGGTGGTGTCTGGAGTGGATTTTCACAGATTTTTTGCAAACTTGAATGCTACCTCAGGAAAAATTCATTAAAAAATTTCTAATTCGTTTAGGAAAAAAACAACAGACAGGTTTCTGGATCTAATGTTTGTTAACACGCATGCAAAAAAATAATTCCATGAGCAATAAGTGCTGTATTCATTACGTAAGACATGTCAACAAAATCAAATATGGCCGTCGTATCCAAGGAAATGAAACTTTTTTTCTCAAATTTAATTGCGAATTCTAAGACTCCTTACTATGCTTGTTATATGTGTGAAATTTGGTAAAATATGATCCTGTAATAAGCGAGATAGCCTTCAGGTGTAGCGCCCCCCCCTTAATGAAGAACTAATACATTTACCGTTAGCGTGGCTTTTCCGCCATTTTTATGTTCACGGGCTTCGCCAGGTACCCAGGAAGCATGTCGATAAATGTAAAGCAGAGTGGGCCCCAAAAAGTCGATATAAGAGAAATTGTTTAGTGAAGATATTGAAGTTGAAGGAAAAATTTCATAATTGGAAAATATATGTGTGTGTGTGCCTAAATTCAACTAAATCAAAGTCACCACAGAGAATTTTGAGTTACAGG